TGGAAGAAGAAGAAGAAGAAGAAGAAGAAGAAGAAGAAGAAGAAGAAGAAGAAGAAGAAGAAGAAGAAGAAGAAGAAGAAGAAGAAGAAGAAGAAGATTTTAAGGAGCAGCAGCAGCAGCAGCAGCAGTCGCTCATACCAATAATTCATGTTTTTCATATTGCATACATTGTAATACTATTGACATAGATCTAAATCTGTCTTGGGCATAAACATAAGCACAATCTCTTCATTTGCTCGAGCATATTGTTGGCATTAATAATATCCGTCCAAGTTGTCTTATTTGTGTAGGCCTACTCATGCACATAGATAATTTCTTGACCTTTGTAGAAAAGGGTATTGGTTAATTGAAATAGAGGCTGGGGTGTAGTTTTGCCTTCAAACGAAAAAAGTTTTAAAAAAAAAAAAGCAGAATGTGTCATGTGTATAATTATTTTGAAGATCTATATGTAGATATATCCGTCGGACTAATTTTACGATTACACATTTACTTTGCCTCACCGGTTCTACGCACTTTGCTTGACTCAAGATTGCTCGCATTCTCTTTCGCTTGCCTTGTCATTATTTGCCAGGTAATGCATTCCCTCGTGCCAGCGAAGGTTTACTCTAAAGCGCGCTTGGACCAAAAGCTAATTCAGATCGCGAGAAGACCAGCGAATTCGGAACACATGTGCAATATCTACGGGTTTTGGCCTTCTAATACCTAAGAAGGCCTAGCTACGGGTGTGTGCGTAAATTTTACATCTCATTACCGCTGCAACCAACTTCCACATGCTAATTTTTAATGTATTTGAATACTCTATGACAATAAAAGAACGAAATACTGTTAAAAGGAATAGCTCTGCCTACATGCACATTATTCAGTTTCAAAAGCCTTACCAGGAATAAGTTGGACACTCACAAGATCTTTACATTATGTCTGGTAGGCTACTTAATAACAAGTTCAATATACATGTACATGTATTTTTTATCTTATCTTCAAAAAGCTCACCATGGCAAGCTTCTGTTACAGCTCATAGGCTGCAGCTGTTTATTAACCTATTATATTTGCATTCGCTGCGGATTAAACAATATAGTTCCATTGGAGGAGGCTTAACGAAGACTAGTGCTAGAATTTATATTACAATATAGCTTACAAACGAATACAAAAACAGTACAAAGTATAGGCATTAAAAGCAATAGTACTTAGAAAAATCTATAAGAGCATGAGTGGGAGAAAAGGCGCAATTAAATTGATCTTAAAATAACAGAGTACTAAACTAAAGATGATTCGAAGGTAAGTAGAGAGAGAGAGAGAGAGAGAGAGAGAGAGAGAGAGAGAGAGAGAGAGAGA